GTAGTTTTTAGTTAATCTGACTGAGTGTTCAAAATTCATAAGGAAGATGTTTTTTGAAGAGAAACTACGAGGGCTATCCTTCCTGTATAATGAATCTAGAGGATGTGGAACCACAATGTTATCCCTCATTCATCAAGAAACGAGGCAATCATAGTCCTCTCAACAAGCAAAGACAAGCTAATGTCACATTTTGTTCAAAAAGTCAAAAATCAAGAAAAAGAAAAGCCTGCTAAGTCAAAAAACATGAAAACGTGTGACTTAGGCAAAATTAAGGCATCCCGCTGGACTATCAATTCAAAAGAATTAGTTCAGGCAAAAGTTAGGGAAAATAAAAATTGCAAAGAAAAGGACTGCAAAGAAAAGTCCTCAACAAAGAACAAATTGGTGACTACAAACACGAAGACATGAGGGCGGTTTCTACTCCGAAAGCCTCGTCGTTTCCTTGACCGTCACAAAATCCTTTTGAGAGATGAACACTCATGTTGAATTAACTGAACATAGGATTGGAGAACATCGTGAAGGGGGTGGGCACCAAATATCTTGAGCCTTAAATCCTTTTTTTTCTAAAACCATGAACCAGACCACATTACAACCTTCAAAAGTCCTAATTGAAGCAAGGTTATTTTGAAAGCATACTTCAATAAGATAGTGTCCCTGACTCCCATGAATGTTCTAAATAGTTATGTTGGTATCATATGTTTTTCCTATACAAAAATAAATGATGCTCTAACTCGCAAAATTTGTGCGATATCTTTTCAAAATCTTTAAGACTTACATAACTGTTGCATTAGAATTTTCATTCTCATAATAAACTTTTTCTAACTGCAAAACATTTGTTTGATATCAAGGAAGCTCACATATAAGCACTAGTGATGAGTTTATTCTTTTAAGGCCTGAAACTATGATTGAGTAATTGGAGTATCATTTCAAGAAAAATCATATCCAGGGGCATGTCACCTAAAGACCTTGAACATGGACATGTTGCTTCTCCCAGTTAATGTTTTCCAACTTGTTTACCCTTTGGGGCAAAATTTGAAGACTTTGTTGTACCAACTACAGTCAATTCGGGGCCATCACGTCGAGATTCGATGAATCTCTCTAAGAGTTTGAAGACACCAGAGCATGGTGGATGCCAGGTCTTTTGTAAAATCCTCTTGAGACGATTTCTCCTCATCAGCCATATAGCTCGGGGCATTTTAAGTGAAGTTATTCGCAAGAAATGTCGTGCAACATGCAGCTTATCAGCGGTAAACTTGGGGCATCCAAAATTGGTCCCAGGGGCAATCTAGATTTGTCAAGATATGTGATATGTATTGCACACATTATCAGAGGGTGGTGTTCCCAGTATCTCCAGCTAAGCATGACTTTTTCCAGCTGAAACTTTGTTTGTGTTGTTATCCTCTCAATGGATTGTTTGTAATAGAAGACTGGACTTTGGATTTTCTACCTGAAAATATCTTCCTCTCCAGAGATATTTAAGCCTTGTAAAAGGACCTTGCTCCAATGATGGCCTGTGTTTTATCTCCAGTAATGTTCCCATCCTGTTGAGATTAGCCGAGTGTTAGGTTGTGCTATGATGTCTTATCATCTCCAGTTTATCCTGTCTGTTTTGTCAGCACATACATGACATTCATTTATTCATTCACACTTGCATCATGCACACACAATTGTATTTGTTGATGCCATTGAGTTCGTATACCTTGGTTGTGTCTATTCAAATAGTGTATTTGATCTTTCCAAATAGAGTGTCAACTTAAGCAGAAAGTGCGCCTCCTTTCTAATTCCCCACTGAGTTAACTCTCGTGGAAGAATCTTGCTTTAGCTTTCCTTTTCCATCTCTGGATAGGATAAATCCCCATTTGAGTTGTTTCCTCATTGGGTGGAGTCTTGTTTGACTGTTTTCTCTCCAGTTTATTCCCGGATTGAGCTGTGTCTCTTGTGAACGATACCCTGTGGATCTCTCTAAGCCGTGAAACCTAGATGGAGAGTACATTTATTTTGCAATTCAAATAGCTGGTGTTCTCAGGAAGGATTTATTCATGGTTCCCCATTGAGGATGAACTTTATTCCCCAGCAGTGTTATCACAACCTTCTTCTGGAATATAGACATGACAACAAGCGACTGACTCTTTATTTGAGCAGTTTGATTATTTCTGATATCTCTTCGACAAATGGCGGTCTCTTCATGAGCAGTTTGTCCTTCCTCGATGATATTATTGGTTCTCACCTCCAACAATATCTTCACGATATTTTATGGGTATCTTTTTGGGAAACAGCAAGCGGCAGTCTCTTCATGAGGCAACTTGTGTGTTATGGATATTCTTGACAAACAGCAAGCGGCGGTCTCTTCATGAGCAACTTGTATGTTATTGTCACCTTTGAAAACATCAAGCGGCGGTCTCTTCATGAGCAACTTGTATGTTATTGATACCTTGAAAAAAAAACATCAAGCGGCGGTCTCTTCATGAGCAACTTGTATGTTATTGATATCTTAGAGAAAACATCAAGCGGCGGTCTCTTCATGAGGCAACTTGTGTGTTATGGATACTCTTGACAAACAGCAAGCGGCAGTCTCTTCATGAGCAACTTGTATGTTATTGTTACCTGAAAAAAAACATCAAGCGGCGGTCTCTTTATGAGCAACTTGTGTGTTATTTTTCTCTTGAAAAACATCAAGCGGAAGTCTCTTCATGAGCAACTTGTGTGTTATTGGTAATTTTCAAAAGAAAACAACAAGCGGCGGTCTCTTCATGAGCAACTTGTGTGTTATTGGTAATTTTGAAAAGAAACAGCAAGCGGCAGTCTCTTCATGGACAACTTGTATGTTATCAACACTTTTAAAAACAGCAAGCGGTAGTCTCTTCATGGACAACTTGTATGTTATCAACACTTTTTGAAAACGGCAAGTGGCGGTCTCTTCATGAGCAGCTTGTGTGGAAAATGGCAAGTGGCAGCTCTTCCTGAGCAGCTTGTGGGTTATAAGCAACAAGTGGCAGTTCTTTATGAGCAGTTTGTGTACTTTAATATTATATGAAGACAGCAAGTGGCAGCTTCTTTATTTAAGCAGCTTGTATGTCATAGCACCTTTGAAGGGAAGCAAGTGGCGGCCTCCTTATTTGAGCAGCTTGTGTATCCCCAACAATAACGTTTACTCAGCAAATGGCATCCCTTTCGAAAAGTCCCGTGGGGAAGTTTGTTATTTTGTCCTTTTCAAGCGATATCTTGGTTAGAGAATAAATGTGTTACCATTCTTGGTAAAATTCAGAAATCAGAGATGTTTATCTCCAGCCACAGTGCTGATGTCAATCATTTTGTTTTCCAGCCACAGTGCTGATGTCAATCATTTTGTTTTCCAGCCACAGTACTGATGTAAATCATCTCTTTTCCAGTCTCAACACTGATGTAAATCATTCAAGAGTCTCTCATTTGAAGTCTATGACTCTGTTTCCCCAGTGGAGTTACAACCTCTTCCTCTGTGGGATTACTGTATAATGTGCCTGGTTTCTCCAGCATAGTCTGTCTCATATGGCGTCATTCCCCATAAAGTTCAGAGCATTACATTCATATCATATCATGAACATAATCGCGGTATCTTAAGGCCAAAAATTGTGTATTCTATATTTAAGTCCCTTCAATCTCGTCGAAATGAAGATCCCAATCTTCATATCTCCAGATAGAAGAAACTTAAATAGGGGCAGCTGTTGTACCCCAATTTTTGACCTAAGATCCCATTTTTATTTTTGCATTTTTTAAGATAAGTCAAGGTCACGAAATACAGTCGGTTTTAACGTCTCACCTTCGAGCTTTGACTATGCGAAGCTTGTCAAGTGTTTTGAACATTTTTAGCCTATGTATCACTAATTTCTAATCGCATACAAAGGTGTATGTTCATGTTTTCTTTTGTGTCATGTGCAGAGACAGGTCTAAATCAAGAGCATCAGATGTCGCGCCTCAATTAAGGTTTTGATTCTCCCAAGCCAGAAATACGGTTGATTATGGATTCTCGAAGACTGATTCATCAAGACAGACTGTTAAAAGCGATTCGACACTATACGGGAAAGTAGCGAGAAAATATTTCAAGTTTTCACCTTTTACCGATCATTTTATGAATCTACGCTTCGCGTAGATTATGACGGTATGCTCGCTTTATTTTTTCGGTACAGTTCGAAGTCTCGTTTTAACCTTAAACGTCTGTTTAGTCTGATATTTTCATTATTACTTTATTTTTGATTTTTGACTTCTTGAATATTTTTTCTTTAATCTTTGTGACATGCAAATTATTTTAATGTGTTCATTTTATTTTTTCGGATAAATTTTCGTCCGTTCTTTTATCGTTTTCGATCATTTTTGGTCTTTATTTTTTTATTCATAAAATATTCAAAAAAAAATCATTTTAAATTGAGTTATTTTTTATAATTTCAGGTTTTATTTTATTTTTGTCATTCAGGGACTTTTTGGTCACAAAAAATATTAATTAGGTTTCGCTTAATTCTCATTGGTCGATAGCATAGTTTGCGGATTGATAGAGATTGAATTCTCATTGGTCGAAAGCATGGTTTGCGGATTGATAGAGATTGGATTTATATTGAACGGCTTGGATCTATTTTAAAATCATAATATTTCTATTCTTTTTCTATTTAAAGGCTTCATTTTTTTTCTTTGCAAAGGGGGGAACAACACAAAAAGCTAACAATAATCTCTTTCTCTCAACCTTCCATTCCCATTCCCGTTCCCTATCCCATCACAATGCAACCACAAGCTTCTAACCTCAATCCAAACGCTCAACCCTTCTATCCACAACACAACCTTGTAGTAGTAACACCTAAAACTCAATAGAGTGTTTATGTACCAAAACAAAAGTAAAAAGCAATATAGTAATCATCAAACACCTCTCTCTCACTACTATTCATTCTTTCTCTCTCTAGAAAAATCCCATTTCATTCTCTACCCCTTGTGTTGTTGCGTATGATTACAGATCAGGAAACTCCAACCATTTAACCATGGCATCCTGCAACCTCTCCTCATGCAACCTTTCCTCTTCCGTTTCAATTTCTTCATTCCCCTCTAATGCCGCCCGCAGAAGAGCTTCCAACACCGTCGCCCTCACCCGGAAGAACCGGAACCCTAAGGTCTCCGCCATGGCCAAGGAATTGCGTTTCAACAAAGATGGCTCTGCTATCAGAAAACTCCAGAATGGTGTGAACAAGCTTGCGGATTTGGTTGGTGTTACTCTTGGACCTAAAGGCAGGAATGTTGTTCTTGAGAGCAAGTATGGTTCGCCCAAAATTGTTAACGATGGTGTCATTGTCGCTAAAGAGTTTGAATTGGAGGATCCGGTTGAGAATATTGGTGCTAAATTGGTGAGACAGGCAGCTGCCAAGAGAAACGACTTGGCTGGTGATGGAACTACTACTTCTTTTGTTTTGGCTCAGGGCCTTATTGCAGAAGGCGTCAAGGTTGTTGCAGCTGGTGCAAACCCTGTGCTCATCACACGTGGAATTGAGAAGACAGCGAAAGCTCTTGTGGCTGAACTTAAACTGATGTCAAAAGGAGGTTGAAGATAGTGAATTGGCTGATGTGGCAGCAGTCAGTGCTGGGAACAATCATGAAGTAGGAAACATGATTGCTAAAGCATTGAGCAAGGTTGGTAGAAAGGGTGTTGTGACACTCGAGGAGGGAAAGAGTGCTGAAAACAGTCTATACGTTGTTGAGGGGATGCAATTTGATAGAGGATATATTTCCCCCTACTTTGTTACTGACAGTGAGAAAATGACTGTTGAATTTGAAAACTGCAAGTTGCTATTGGTTGACAAAAAGATAACTAATGCAAGGGATCTTATTAACATACTCGAGGATGCAATTAGAAGTGGGTCCCCTATTTTGATCATTGCAGAGGATATTGAACAAGAAGCTTTAGCAACTCTTGTTGTGAATAAACTTAGAGGATCACTGAAGATTGCAGCAACTTCGGCTAGCTCATCGGGATTAACCTTCGGTAAGCTTTTGATTACTAACTCATTTGTTCGTATAATTGCGGTAATGAGGAATTTTCTGCGTGACATTGTTGTTAATTCATGTTTGATTAATGGTGATTGTTGTTGAAGTTGTTAAAATTAGTTTGAGGTGATAATGATTATTGATTGTGAAATTGAAACTTTGTTCTTTATTGAAATGAAGAACATGTAGTGGTGATAGTGAAAAATTTGGTTACTGTCACACATAGAAGAGAAAATTGTCATTTTTTTTTTTTTTTTACTTTAAGTTTTTTTTAATTAATTTATTTCACCCTTATTTTCTTTTACATTCTTTTGTTTGTTTTATAATTCTAGATTTATATTTGCTTTATTAATGTTGATTATACTGTTTTGTTTAATTTAAAAAAAAAACAAAACAAAACAATATCAATTAAGTAGTCTAGTAGATTTTGGTAAAATTTTAGTAGTTAATCATTTTTTAAATAACTTCAAATTAATAGTTAATTTTTCTTTGTTTTAATTTTTGTAGTGTTTATTTTTTTAGTAATTTTTGTTTAGAATTATTTCTTGTGAACTTTCATCTTCTTGATAGTTTGTTTAAATGTGTGTTGATTTGTGTTAAATTTGTGACTTTTGATTCAATTCATCTTGGTTCTTATTTGTGTAAATATTCATGTCCATTCATACAATTTCTTTTCAATTCTTTAATTTGTGATTTCTAACATAGATTTTAATTATTGCAATTTCATTCACTTTCATTTCTGTACCGCTTATGCTACTAACAAGTTTGTTTATTGTGAAGGTTTCCGAGAACTGTTTCAAGTGTTCGTTCTCGCATAGCGCATTTATACTTTTTTATTATTCCTTTTTTACCTTACTATTTTGATTTAATATCTGGTACTGTAAATATATACTTGTACATAATATTTTGACTGTATATTTTGCTTGTGAATAAATTCAGGTTTCTTAAAAATATTGTTTTCATCGCATTGTGATTTTATTTTAATTCCAACTAACTTCTGAAAATTGTGCGGACGCGCATAAGTTTCCCTGTGCTGTTAGATTTGTCGATATATATCTTGTGATGCAGGGATTCTTATCTGACGCCGTGAGCTTTATCCACCGCCTTTGCGCTTTATCTGATGCTTGGAGTATTATCTCACATTAGGTTTTTTTTTGATGATGCTGTCGGCTTGTGATTTATTTTCACCTAAGGTTTGATATACTCTTAGCTTATTTATCTGTCTGTGGTTTTAATTCCAAGGGAAATGTTTTTAACTTTGTTGACTTCATGTCATCAAATATATTTGTTACAATCGTGCGAATACCCTCATCCATTTTTTTTGCTTATTTACTATTTTTCCAAACTTAAGTTAAATCTCCTCAAAACCTAATTTCAAACATACACTCTTTTTAAACCAAAACTTCGACACGAGGTCGTCGTATCTTCAAAATCCCATCCATACCCATCTTTGACCAAATAAACCATTTTAATCAAACAAACAATTTTAACCAAAAACAGATATTTCAAAAGGTTCCTGCGGAGTACCGCAGATGCATTAGGTGCTAATACCTTCCCATTGTATAACCAACCCCCGAACTCTCGATCTCTTTTAAAAACGCATTGTATTTCCATTACTTTTAAATATTAATTTACATTGCATACTTTAGGGTTTTATTTCGCTCTTTTCCCTTTTCCCTTGGAAATAATAAAGCGCGGTGGCGACTCTTGCTTTTTGCGAGTCAAGTTAATTAATAGCTTGATCTCCGATTTTCACCGCTACAGGTACAAGCATTGTTTCAATTCCTAAACACTGGAGTTATAAGGAAGATAATCCCTCGTCAACCCCTTCGAGCCAAAGAAGTAGGAGTTTTGCTTTTCACAAAAAATTAAAACCCTTAATCATAACCTGGGGCAGGGTAGTCTTCTCAGTTGATCCAGGTGCACAACGAATGGCACCAAAGGAGTTCTTACAAAACAAAAGACAGTGATGGTTCCGAATAACCATAAGGACAGGCAGTCATTATCCCTCAAAATAAATGCCCATTAAGTCAAAACCTATGAAGGAGACTTACAAAACTGGGGCATCCCGCTGACTGTAAATTCAAAAAGAAACAGTTCAGGCAAAAAATAAAACAGGGATAACAAAATAAAAAAAAGAGGTCTTACAAACCCTCAACAAAAAAGGAAATGACTTCCCATTCAAAATAAACTGTCAATATTCGAACCATCACCGGAATATCAAAGCAAAGACTCAAACTTGGTCTAACGCACGATCAGCTGAGTTTAGGTTTGAAGAACATCATGAAGAGCGGGTGGGTACAAATATAAACTTGAGCCTTTATCCTTTGTTTCTTAAACCGTGAACCAGGCCACATTATAACCCTCAAAAGTCCTAGCTGAAGCATGGGTTAGTTCGAAATCATACTGTTACGAAAGGTATCCTGACTCCTTAAGGCTTGCGGTAAAATAACGAGTTGACATCACAGCTTACAAAAAAAAAATTCACTTGTTTTTATGAAAAAAAATGCATTTTCAAAAACGTCAAGACAGGCATAAGCTTTGCATTCCCGATATAACATTGTTTGCATATGACTATTTGTTTGAACAACATAGAAGTTCGCGCGACGAATGTCTAATTAACAAAAGCACCTCCAATCAAGGGGCATGGCATGATCATAGTCTATCATCTGGGGCAGTTAAGTCAAGATTCGGAGAATCTCTCAAAAGGCCAACCGGCAGGGGAAGATCTCCATCTGAGTCACTTGGGTCATTGGACGATCAAACGAAGATCTTCTGGTAGTAAGGCAACACAACATTACTGACAGGGGCACCTCCCTACATCCTGAGAGCATGGACATAGTCGAAAAATACTGCGTATAATCAAAGACCCGCTAGGTTGACACACCTAGGCAAAAATAAGGGCTTCCCGGCGAACCAAAAGGGTTCGGGTAAAAATAAGGGATGAAATGAAAAATCTGTACACTCGGCAAGTCGAAAACCTGAAAAGGCGGCTTGGGAAAAAATGGGTATCCCGGTGGACTAAAAACCTGAAAGGGCGGTCCAGGCAAAAATTAGGGATCAAAGCGTACGACTATGTCCCGTCATCTTGCCTACCAGAAGAAGATTTGTCAATCAGCAGTTATCAAGACCTCCACAGGTACCTTCCCCCATCAGAAACAGGGGCAATAATGAGTTGTCTAAGCGATATAGTTGCTCTGTCCACCAAGGTACCAAAGTAGGTTCGGCTAAAGAATGTAGCCCAGATACCTTCACTCCCCGCTGAGTAAGACAAGATTCAACAATTCTCTCCCAAGCAGTTGGTCTCCCGTCAGTCCAAACAAGGCACCGTATCTCCAGCAAGTCAGCAACGCTATCCCCAAGCAGAGTTAGCCTACAGTCATCCTTAAGGAAGTTGGGTATCCCCAGAAGATCTCAACATTCCCCAACGGAGTATACAAACATTCCTAACAAGCATCCCCGGCAGTCTTAATCTAAGATTGGTCCCCGGCGGCATACCAGACATCCAGTGGAGCCATTCCCCAGTACAGTCCAAAGTCTCCCCAGGAGGACTCAATCAATCTCCCCAGTAGATTCAGGAAGCTTATCCCCAGTAGATTCTGGAAGCTTATCACCTGCAGAGTGCGAACGCTCCCCCAGTTTTATTCAAAGGTTATTTCCCCACCAGGATATAACTGGGTTATCCTCAGCTGAAAACCACGGAAAGACCGTCCCCGGCGAAGTCTTCCTATCCCCAGCAGAGTTCATCAAATCTTACAACAGAACTCATCAACAGGATCCCCAACGGAGTTATCATCAAAACCTCAGTGAAGTATCTCTTCCTACAGAGTAGATCCCCCGCAGAGTAATCTCTCCAATAAGTTTATTCCCCAACGGAGTCATCTTCTCCTACCGGTTTATTCTTGCAATCATCATCCCCAGCGAAAACGAAGAACTCTCTTCAACATCAGCCCAGGATTCAGCTCCCGGCATTCGTCAAAGGATTCATTTTCCCAGACGAAAATACATTCATAAACATCACATTGTCATACATCATGATACATGCATACACGCATCATATCACCCCAATCTCATCTATTTTTGAGAACGTCATGACATCATGCATGTCATACATTATGACATTGCATATAACTAACTCGTTACTTTTTCAGGAAAGAACGATCAACAGATAAAAGTCTTTACCGTTTGAGGTAGAAGACGTCCAAGATTCCTTCATCATTATGCTGAGGTAGTAATCGCCCAAGGTTCTCTCATCGTCCCGTTGAGGTAGTAATCGTCCAAGGTTCTCTCATCGTCCCGTTGAGGTAGTAATCGCCCAAGGTTCTCTCATCGTCCCGTTGAGGTAGTAATCGTCCAAGGTTCTCTCATCGTCCCGTTGAGGTAGTAATCGTCCAAGGTTCTCTCATCGTCCCGTTGAGGTAGAAATCGCCCAAAGGTTCTCTCATCGTCCCGTTGAGGTAGTAATCGCCCAAGGTTCTCTCATCGTCCCGTTGAGGTAGTAATCGCCCAAGGTTCTCTCATCGTCCCGTTGAGGTAGTAATCGTCTAAGGTTCTCTCATCG